ACACCAATGTCATTTGTGAGAATATCCACCGAGTTATCTCCTGGAACAGTTACAGCAATTTTGAACTTCCTTGGCAGGAACTGAGTTCCATAAATGGGCTCAGGTGAATCAGGGAAATTTGTTCCATTATTATTATCATTTCGAGCCTTCACTACTTCTGGAGGTTCTGCTGTCATGATTCTCTCCCCATCCACCCACATATCATAGTAGAACCCCGACTGAGGGGTTAGAAGTGCAGCAATATCTTCTGCTGTTTCCTGAGCAAAAAGATAATCTTTTCTTGCAATTGGGGCTGCAGGAGCAAGAACATTTCTGTTGAGATCACCACACGCTCCAAGAGTTGAACCCATGCTCCTAATAATACTGCTCATCACCGTCTTAAGGTCCTTCTTCAGAACACCATGGAGCTGAAATGTATGTCTCGTAGTCAACCGAAGTGTCCCAATTCCAAACTGATCAGCAAGATCATCCATAGTCGAGTAAAGTCTGTTTGGACTTTTCCACAAGGATTCTTAGTCCGAAGCATAAACGAATAGGACTTGGCACCACGCTCATCCCTGTTATACTGTTGATAACTTCCATGAAACTTGATAAGTTGTGTGGCAGCCTCATTAATAATGGGAGCATCTGTCAACAGCTTCTCATTAAGAGGGTATCTTATGCAATTGCTTCCTTCTTTAATTATTTCAACTTTACTGCGCTTAGTTTCAGTTGCAGTGTCAGGCTTCACTGGCTGCAAAGGGATTGCACAAGCTATCAATCAGAAAGAATTCGATGGAGAAACGGATTTTCGTTGTGTGATACTGTGATGAAGAGGAATAAAAGCGAGAGACTGTGCTGTGCTAATATAAGCTGTTTTCATCGATGTAATATTGTTCGCGGTGGTAGGTGTTTGGTTTTTATTGGGTAATGTTTTGAGTTTGAATATGAAACAAATACTGAAGAGATAATGCAATTTGATTTTAATGTCACTTCCGAACATCAGCAGATCAATAAAAAATAAATGATAATTGTTTCGTTTTTCCCTGTTCTTGCTGACGTGCCCGCCTGGCACTTTTGCGTTTTCTCACGTTTTGTTTATCTTGCTAACGTGCGCTCAGACACTGTAGCCCTCTCATGACCTTGCTAACGTGCGCCGGACACTGTTTAGCTTTCGATTTCCCAACGTGGGCCCGACAGCGCTACCTTTTATTTTTTAATTATGGAAATTTGGGATGATAGGTCCATGTGCATTCTCCTACGCGCCGACTCTGGGTACCGATGCGCGACGCTGGAGAAACAAAACGACAGCGCTTGTTGAAGAATATGCTTGTGAGCGCGTGCCTATGTGTTTAGAAAAGCAGAAAATTTTGATTTCTTTGTGGGGTTAATGCCAATTGAAATCAGTACAATACTAAGCCTTATACTATCGATTCACCTCATGTCCTCCCTCTACTTTTATTTATCTTCACATGTTCTCCTCTAGTATTCAAAATCATATTAATGTCATCCCTCCGTCTATTTTGGGGCTAACAAACTGTCTATTGACTGTTAAATTGCAAACGGAGGGACGTTTGGGGACTTTTCAATTCCTTTTCTTTTTTTTTTTCTTCCTAAATGTGCAGAGTGGCTCCACCCATGCCACATCA